GCATGATGCACGCAGCACCATGCCCGCCCACATGTCCATAAGCTGGGTGGCCGTTAGGGCTTAGGGTTCAGGGGTTTAGGGTTTAGGGTTTAGGGTTTAGGGTTTAGGGGTTTGGGCTTAGGGTTTAGGGTCTAGGGATTCCTATAAGGCTCCTATAGGGTATATATAGACCTTCTAGAAGGCTCTTGTAACGGTAACTACCCACCTGAAGATGTCCTAGAAGTAGGGAGTTTCCGAAAACAAGGGGTACCTCATTTTGGGGTCCTTATAAAGGGTTTAGGGTTTAGGGTTTAGGGGTTTAGGGTTTAGGGTTCAGGGTTTATAGTAAGGTTCCTTCTATTTAGGGCACTGTATTAGGGCCCCCTAGTAGGGTTCAAGGCGTTAAGGGCCAAAGGTTTATAGGGTTTAGGGTTTAAGGAACAGGCGCAGCTAAATGACGAGGCATTGAAAAAAGGGGATCTTGGTCCGTACTCAAAGAAGATATCTTGAAGAGCTCTTAACTCTTTTGATTCAAGTATATAACATATGGGGCCTACAAGCCATGCTTCAAACAGTGCTTGCCAACATTTCCGAAACAGCACCCTAAAACGTCACTGGCCCAAAACCCAAGGAAATAAAAGTTGAAACTTTCAGAATCGACAACCATTAATTATAAGAGCCCGAAATGTTGAAAAGTTGAGATTACAGCCAATAAGAAACCCCAAAATATTTGTTTGTCTATTTTGGCAGCTCTGTTAAGTGACTGGCTTCACGAAGAGCTCTGAACTCCAACACCTAAACTGTCAACCCCCAAATTCTGAACATGAAAACCGGCCCCCAAACTCCTAATCTTTAAGTTTAAATCCTAAAGCCTAAACTCTAAACCCTAGACCCTAAACTTTAAACCCTACATCCTAAAGCCTGAACCCGAAGCCTTAAACCCTAAATCCTAAACACCCTTATCAAGCCCTAAAGTCCAAAGTCACGATCGGAGACTCCCGGACATCTTGCAAGCCCGAAATTAGTGACAATATAGGGGCCTGAATAATTAGAATAGAGTTTTGGGGCTCTTTATGCTATAATTATAATAAGGGACCCCAAAGTAATATAGGTAATTATTGAGGCCCCTATACTAACTGCAAAAATCTCATCCGCACCCTTCATTGGTTGGGGCTCGAGGGTTTTCGAGCTGACGCTTTGGGGTATCAGGTTTGTTCATTACGCTACGGACGCTGACAAGGGTTCTAAACCTTAAACTCTAATCAACCTTAAACCCCAGACCTTAACCCCTAAACCCTGAACCTTGAACTCTTAACCTTAAACCCTAAACCCTAAACCTTAAAACTTAAACCCCTAACCCGAGACCCTAAATTCAAAAACCTTGAACCGAAGTCTTCTGAAACTGCCGCCTTGAGTTTCCCAGGTCGACCCGCCAAAAACGAGTCCTTGGGAGAACAGGTGCGCTGGATTAGGGATTGTTGTAGGGGTTAGGGATTAGGGTTTAGGGCTTGGGGCTGATGAATTAGGGTTAGGGATTCTAGGCTAACCTACATAACTACTATCCGAAACCTAAGAGCCTAATTATTGGGTCGTTTTGGACCCTTAAACGATTAGGGTGTAGGCTTTTCACGGCCTTAAGAGTTCCAAAACAGGGTTTAGGATTTTTAGGGCTTTAAGGGTTGAGCAAGGAGCTCCAAAACAGGGTTTAGGATTTAGGGGTTTAGGGTTGAGGGTTTAGCGTCAAGTATATACACTTACTTGTCCACTATGATGGGGAGCTAAAGGTTGTAAGCTTTGCGATTACAACATAGGGGCTACAGTACCCCAAACAGGTTCACGGTTACCTACTCTACTATTACGTACAGGTTTCATTAGAGATTTTTATAGGACTTTAATGGCTCTATAAGGGATGTACCTTGAATTCAAGTTTGAATCGTAGAGAGAATCAAGAGATCCGTAACATCATAAGCGGTGCTGGGTGCACTAGCTTGTCTGTGGGATCTCTATAGTACCTACTTTTTACTACTATCTGTTATGAGGTACTTAACCCCTCAGGGATAGGGCTTCGGATGTATGGTTTAAGCTTCCAGAGCTTACGGGCTTACGCTTTAGGCTTTAGGATTTACCCGCACAGTCCAGAATTATAGGGTTTCTACGGTGTAGGAGTTGTTGCAAAGGCTAGGAGCTAAAGGTTTAGACAATTGAGTAGGCTGAAACAGCCCCACACTCCATAATCAATCGCAATATATCCCTAAACCCTAAACCCTATAAACCCCAAAGGGCCGACGCTCATCTATGGGATATCCCTTGCCTGGGGGTCTGGGGAAATCGCTCTTGCAACCCCTGGACCCCCTGAACCCTGAAGCGCTGAATCTCCGGAACAGGCACGGTTCATCAACATTGCCAAACCGCTTCGGCCCTTTTTTAGGTTTAGGGTTTAGGGTTTAGGGTTTAGGGTTTAGGGTTTCATCTAAGACAGGGAAGAACAATGGCGCTGCGACCCAAATGCGAGGTTTGCTCCACGATCGTCCCCTTTTGGAAGCTTCCAACCTCGCAACAGGCCACCAAGGTTGCGGGGCTTCTCCACGGTTAGGGTTTAGGGTTTAGGAGTTTAGAGCTTTATTCATCGGTCGACGGCGTTTTGTGAAGGCTTGTCGACGCCAGGAGCGCTACATCCTCCGTTGTTTGGGCTTGGTGACATGTGCGACGACGATGATGATGTTGATGACGATTGCATGGTCATGATGATGATGATGATGATGATGATGATGACACTGATGGGAACAATGATGAGGATTGCGATTTATGGTACCAAACCCTAAACCCTAAACGGTAGCCTACCTGTTGATGCTGATGACGATGGTGACGATGGTGATGAGCCATTTCCAGGGGTGACGGTGGAACTTCCGACCTCTTTGCTAGGATGGATACCCATAGGCCCCATAGTAGTTCCTTTTTGGGATTACTTTGAAAAGGATTCTAAATATGAACCCCAAAATAGGAACTACTATGGGCCTATGGGGCCTATGGATACTTACAAAGGCGGTACTACGGCGCTTGCAGTGATCGCAGCGCTCAACCAGCATCAGTGGCGGGTGGTCGGCGGGTCAAGGTACACTGCCAGCATAGCATAATAGATAATACTTGCAGGGGAATGCTACACCAGCACCAAAACCCCAAATCCCCCAAGTGCGAATACACCCTGAACCCTGAAGCCGGTACATGGTCCTTAAAACCCATGTAGCTGAATGCCAAAGGCAGCGGTCAAAAACACACGCAACACAAACCCTGAAGTCTGTCTGAACCGACAAACCTACATCCTAAAGCCCTTGAAACCCCTAACCCTGAAGCCCATGAGCCCGAAAGTCCTTTCACCTTGAAGCCTAAACCCTAAAACCCACGCAAAACCTGGAATCCTTCGAGTCCCTGCAGGCCAGGAGGCAACCAGGTGTTGCAAGATCCGCCCTGTCACCATGGCGTATGTCTGCCTGAAGGCTGATTTTCAGCTATTAAGGCCTATAGGGACGGAGTCGTATGTATGTATATATGTATGTATGTATATACATATATACACATGAATATATATATATATA